TGCCGAGCCCCATGCAGTCTCAGGATTCTTCTCACCGTAGAAGGCACTGCCAGTCCATCTGAGTGGCATGCCAGACAAAGCCCGGGTCTTAGGATCCTCGATACCAGCGCTCGCTTTGTATCACTCCTGTGGCCTCCTGTGGCCATGATTTCTGTCCATGTTTTCTCAGTCCATTTCAGTTATATGCCCCTTCAATACAGAACCTGCCACTGCTGTTATTTCTGGCCCTCTCTCTGTTGTAACTGGAGCTCCTCTAGGCTAGGACCAGGATCTCACTCCTATGCCGAGTCCAGTGCCTTGTGTAGAGCAGGCGGTCAGCAACAGTTTGACCACTGCTGATCGATCACATGAAAGGAGCCCTGTTGAAACCCCTGGGTTGGTGGCTTTAGGTTGGATGATACCCAAGGCAGGGATCAGATCGGTCGCTCTTCTAAGGCCCAGTGAGTTTGTGGGAGGCCTTCTCCTTTGGAGGACAGGAGAACAAGGTTGACTTCAAGGGCTGGAGAAAGAGAATTCAATTCACTGTACAACCATGGCGCGCCTACTCTGTGCTGGGCACTGGTGGGTGGGGCTACCAGGATGGATGTGATCCAGCTCTGCTCTCCCTCAGCTGACACTGTGTGTGTTGGGGGGGCTGGGGGGAGGGGGAGGTGGGCAGGGAGACAGCTGTGTAAAAATGACTACTCATAGAAGATGGAAGCAAGTAAAAACTAGTTCAGAGACAAGTACTGGGCATGGGAGGGGTTATGCGAGAGGCCCCGGCATCTTACCTAATTCTGCTTGTCCCTTTTAGTTTACCAAGAATGGACGAGATCTGGAAGCCACCAAAAACAAGCTCATCGAGATCGCCAATTATGTTGATAAGGTGAGACCAGGTGTGTACTTTGTGGGAACGGTGCCAGCACTCAGAGGACAGGCGAGCACATGGCCCCTGAGCTGCCTCGTGTGTAACGGACTGGCCGGCCCAGCCAGCCTCTGAGAGGGAACGGCAATGCCTCAGAGGCGCAGGTGAACTCGAAGCTCAACTATGTGACCGGAGCCAAGCGACTTATCTTCTTTGGCTTGAAGTTTTGTTTTGTTGGGAATTGATAAAATAGAGGGGTTGGCCTAAATCAAGGGTTTTGGATAATTTTTCTTTTTCTGGTGGCTTCCTTTTTTGTGGTTGTTTAAATATATATACTTTTTATTGATTTCAGAGAGGGAGAGATAGAAACATCAATGACGAGAGAGAATCATTGATTGGCTGTCTCCTGTACGCCCCCTACTGGGGATGGAGCCTGCAACCTGGGCGTGTGCCCTGACCGGGAATGGACCCTTGACCTCCTGGTTCATAGGTTGACACTCAACCACTGAGCCACATCAGCCAGACAGGTGACATCCTTTTTAAAAATGAAATCTTACACCACTGTCCATGTATTATAAGCCCTGGCATTGTTTGCTTATTTTGTTTTTGTAATGCAAGTGCCTGGCTTAAGCTTTGAGTGCCCAGGCCTTCATTACCAAGAGGCATCCACTTCGAAGTGGACTCTCTCGACCGCTACAGGAAGGGGAAGATCCAGGCCCCCTCCCTCCACTGAGGCTCTTCTGGTTTAGAGATCGTGGTTGATTTTAGTAAGAGACCATTTGGGTACTTGTGTGTGTTTTTTTGTTTTTTCTTTTCCTTTGCTTTAAATTCCCACTCGGTGTTTTAAATTCACCAAGAAAGAGTGAGTCCTCAAAAACCTGGATCCTCACCCTTCACCCCGATAAAAGCTGAACCCAGGCCCTTTCTCACTCTTCCCCCCCGCACGCCTCCCCCAGCCCCACGCCCCACCTCGCTGTGGCCCCAGGTGTGCTGTGTGATTTCCAGGTCTTGTGAGTAATACACCTGTATCTGCTCAGTTTCCTGATGGTTATTGCTGAAGGGAGTCTTGCAACCACAGTGAGAATCACAAGGGTGGTCCAGCTCTATAACGCTGGTTGTGAATAGGCTGAGATCAGTTCAAAACCGTCCAATATAAAAGTCAGATGAAACGGGCTGCTCCAGGCTGAAGCAGGGTGAGGACTAGAGCTCTGCCCTCTCACCCCTTCTCTCCATCCCTGCAGCGGCTCCCAGGGAGCCGAGGACATGGAGGAGCTGGGTTTCAGAATGCTCTAAGGTTCTTTAAGGCTTTAACGTTCCTTCCAGGCACGGAACTCCGGAGTTCTCTGCCTGAGGAGAGAATTGAGCTAGGTCAGCAAGGGAACAGGACAGAATCTTAAAAGTTGAGGAGTGGCTTGTTTCGGGAACAATCTGTATAGCCTCTATCTGTGAAAGGTTCTAAAGTGATGTCCTGTCTCAGAAAGACCAGGCTAGACCATGGCTAACTTTCCTAGGGCAGGCCTTTCAAACATGCTCTTAGGGAATGCCCAAATTCTTTGACATTTATTAGAACAGGCTGGTCTGGGACATGGTCTTGAAAATATTTTTTTTTACATTTGTTATAGTGCAAAATGTAGTAGAACAGGTAATCTAGCCTCTTCATAGGCTAGCAGCCGTTTTAAAATGTAGGTTTTAATATGTTTGGGGTCACGGGTCTCTGTGAGACTCTAACAACATGGTACAATTTCAGGCCACTCACAGAACTCCTGCAGTTCACTCTGGGCCGGCTAGGGAGTCATGGGTCTCAGGTCCAAAGGAGAAACCATTTTTTTCCTAAACACTAGAGTATAAAGGAGAGAACTGAAATATTTTCTAGACATTTACAAGCAGATTTGGTAGCATTCTGATGCCATCAGGTGGGAAAGTCTATGCCAAAAATGGCTCTGGAAATTCCAGAAGGCCCGTGGTCAGTGACTGGTGAAAGTCCAACACCAGCATTTCCTGGGAGGAAGGGCTCCAGGAGCACAGTCCCAGTCCTCTTTAGCTCTCCACTCACTCAACAATAACATCTAAATGGCCCTCCAACCCACACCCTCAACATCTGGGAAAACAAGAAAAGCCTGATTCCCTGCGGGGTATACAGGAGGCCGGCTCTGTTATCACCCACGTGACATCTATTGTTCTGCAGACACGGCAGGTGGCAGGCTTGGCTGGGTCTCCCCTTTGTGAACAGTCCGGCTGGTCTGGGTGATAGGACCAAGGGTGCTGATGAAAGAGGAGAGGAGAGGAGAGCCCTGAGTAGAGCCCAGCCTGTCCCCGGAGCCCGGCCTGGCGAGCTGGTCCCTTCTGTGGAGCAGTCTCGGTTCTGTCCGCACTCTGGCCTGCCTTCCCTTATTCCTGGCTGGAAGGCTAGCCCACTTCTCTGAGGCTGCTGACCCAGCTACTTGAACTGAACTGTTGTTGAACTAAACCTGGAATGAACTTGCACTAATTTGCTGAATCATGAACCCAATCCAAAATGCTTTTCTTTAGCCATAAAAAAAAAGCCAAGTTTAAGTCCTTAAAAAGCTCCCTGAATAAAGCAAGTTCAAATTGGAATCCAAACCTTTTATTTGCTGTAATGATTGGCCTGGCACAAAACAGGAAAATCAAAATTTCCGTTGAGATCAACGGATGTTTTGCTGAATCTGGAGCCCGTCTTACAGCACCGCGTCTTGGAGGCAAGTGGATGGTGTGGATGTAGACCCGCCCACACTCGAGCAGCGTGGGGCCATGCACAGGCTCAGAGATCTGATCATGTGGGCTCGAATCCTGGCTCCACCATTTTTCTGCTGAGAGTTTGGACAAGGAAGGTATTTAACTGCAAGCCTCAGTACATAGTGCGTAGAAAGTGCTCCGGTTGCTGCGTTTAGCCAGGGCAGCACTTGCCCAAAGTCATCCAGTGTTTTTATTTTTTAAAATACATTTTTATTGATTTCAGAGAGAGAGAGAGAGGGATAGAGGGAGAGGGAGGGAGAGAGAAACATCAATGATGAGAGAGAATTATTGATTGGCTGTTTCCTGCATGCCCCACACTGGGGATCAAGCCTGCAACCTGGGCATGAACCCTGACCTCGTGGTTCATAGGTCAATGCTCAACCACTGAGCCACACCAGTCAGGCAAGTCATCCAATTTTAGATTAAATGGTATCTCCTTGCTCACATGACCTAGATTTACATGCAATTTTTTTTTCTTTTTGGTAAGTCACTGCCTCAGTAGCCTCTAGGGTATGCCAGTCAAAGAATTGCTTATACCCACACCTTCCAATAGTCAGCTTTAAAGAAAGCTCTCATCCTGTTATATGTGTACGACATAAAAGACACAGTATATCATAAAGGTTAGATAGAGCTGTAGCCTTAAGGTCCCAAGAGTGAGGTTTCATGTACAGAATTTCCAAATCTTTGGGTTGGATGGAACCCTGACAGTTATCTGGGGCCTTCGCAGCCTAATGCTTGTAGCCTGTTTACAGTATCCTTGACAAAAGCTGGACAGCTCCAGTGATGGGGAAGGACACTTCTGAGAGCAAGCATGTCTACCTACTTACATACACATGTACTTCCTAAACGAGTGGAGACATCTGACCATGAAATGTCCATATACAATTGGGTGCGTCCATCCAATGGCATGCTGTTTAGCCACCTGAGATGTTTCAGCTCCTCCCTAGCATTGGCAGATGAAGGAGATGCTGTAGCTTTTCTCTTCCACCCGACAGTTTTACCGACCCTACAACATCCGGATTGCTCTCGTGGGCTTGGAAGTATGGACTCATGGGGATCAGTGTGAAATTTCGACGAACCCCTATACCACCCTCTGGTCATTTCTTCGTTGGAGGCGCAAGCTGGTCTTTCGGAAGAAGCACGACAATGCACAGTTAATCACGTAAGTAGCCTGTCCCCATATGCCTTGGCTGCAGAGCCCCTGCCCGCAGTGCTGTGCTGGCTACCCCTTCGTTTCCTGGTGCCGAGTATCGGTCGCACTGGGCCACCTTGGCCACCTTGACTCTCAGCCCCAGGGAATCGGGCATTTCTCAGACATGTGCTCTGTACCTAGCACATGGTGGAAAAGATTTAAAAAGAGGCGGACCAGTTCCAAGAAGTACTTACAATCCAGATGAGAAAATTAGACCGACACATATTCAGTTGAGCGTCTGAAACAACTGGGAGTGTTTGGGAAAGTGACTGACTGGCTGGTGGTCACGGGCGGTTTTGAAACAGACTTTGTAAGGGGCTCATCTTCATCTTGGGGCTTTGAAGCAGGCCCGGGCCTGGGGAGGAGGGCGAGGGCTCCCTGGGTTGTCCTTCACTTGGTTCTGAGGGGCTGAGGGCTGACTGCCCAGGGTGGTCCAAGTGGCAGATGGTACAGGAACTGTGTGCTCAGTCGGAGGGAGACCTGGAAGGGGGTGGGGTGAGGATTGTGTTGGAATTTCTTCCATCCCAGGGGGAAAAAGAGAAGACGCAGATGGGGGTCATGCTGGCATGTGACAGTCCCCGGGGGTGATTATCTGGTGTTTATTAGGGTTGACTTCCAAAGGTATTCTGAGACAGTTACAACAGAAGTCCCATACATAGTAAGTCACTGCCTTCCTGATGCTTAAATACCTTTCTGAACCAACAATCATTTAAACCTTTGTTTACTCATTTAAAAGGCCTCGTGTGTCCCATTGGTTTTAAAATATAACGCTCCAGTGTCCTTGGTAATTGTCACTTCAGTTTGTTTTCCTTTTAAGCCACGAGTTATTTAGAAGTTATTAGAAGTCATTTAGAAGTTTTCCACAAAAAGCTTATTTAAACAAATTACGTTTTGTGGCATGCATGAAACCACTAGGTTTTAGTTACTCCTTGGCCCCTGCCCTCGGGGAGGGATGGATTAAACTGGGGGAATGGAGTTTGGCTGTTGGCAGATTAGGATCACAGTTGTGAAACAGAGGCAGAAACAGGTCATTCTGGCACCCTGCTGCACTTTGCAAGGCTTCCGATGGGACGCATCTGTTTCCTTGGCCCCGGGCGGTGAGGGAATGAAGCATCAGCCCTCTGGCAGCTGCTACCCCACATTCCCCCCACCTACCCCCAGGCACATACCCCAGAGCCAGGATGTGGCATACGATCCTGCAGCTGGAGGAAGTGGGCATGATTCACTTCAGCATCAGCCCCTGTGCCATTCTTCCCTCACCTCACCCCTCCTTGTGACCTTTTCCTGTGCAGCAGGGACGGGATGCAACTGTGCAAGCCCTGCCCATTTCCTTCCAGGGATCGGGGCTGTGGGCATATGTGGGACAAAGGGACCTTTCTCTCTCTTTCTGTTTTTTTTAGAGCAGTGAGAGGGTAGGTAAGAGGAAATGAGAGTCCTGGCTGCCTAGACTCTGTCCAGCTGGCCTGGAATACCAGGGCCTCGCCCCTTGGGAATGATCTGGGAGTGTCAGAGGGGCCAGGGGACACCATGACGGCCACCTGCATGGGCACATCGAAACAGCCCACTCAGTTCCTTCCCTAGTCACCCTCTCCTTCCATTCTGCAGAGGCGTGCGTTTCCAGGGCGTCACCATCGGCCTGGCCCCCCTCAACGTCATGTGCTCCGTGTACCAGTCTGGAGGCGTGAACATGGTGAGTCTCAGCTGATACATCGTATAGTGTGGCAGAAGGCAGAAGACCGCCTCAGGACAGGAGGTCATCTCGTCAAAAACAAAGGTTGGGGGCATGCGGGGGGCAGCTGATGAGTGATTCTCTCATCATTGATATTTCTGTCTCTCCCTCTCCCTTCCTCTCTGAAATCAAGAAAAAAATATATAAAAAAACAAAAAAAAAAACACCCCAAACCCACAATTTTATATTCAGTATTGCAGAAAAAAGAAAAGCTTCGAGCAGTTGTTTAAAAGGAAGTCAGTCAGTGATCAGAGATGGAGATACCAGGGGTGGATTTTCATGGGTTGTAGTTTATCCCCAGTTGTCAAGCCCAGGAAAACCCGGCAGCAGTCATATTAATACATCGCTAGGTCTTTCATATATTCCAAACCAGGGGAGTAGTAAGACAACAGATGGAGGTTTTTTTAGTTCCATGTTTTATGTTATGTACATCATTATGAAACAAGAGCCTGTCTCAAAGTCATGGTTAGGAACTTCCTACCTTCTTCAGAAATTCTCTCTCACCTGGTGACTACTTATTAAATGACTTTGACTGTTCATTTTTTTTTTTAAATATATTTTATTCATTTTTTACAGAGAGGAAGGGAGAGAGATAGAGAGTCAGAAACATCGATGAGAGAGAAACATCAATCAGCTGCCTCCTGCACATCCCCCACGGGAGATGTGCCCGCAACCCAGGTACATGCCCTTGACCGGAATCGAACACGGGACCTTTCAGTCCGCAGGCCGACGCTCTATCCACTGAGCCAAACCGGTTTTGGCTGACTGTTCATTTTTGACCTGTGAAGTGGATATTAAGGAGCCAGCTAGCATCTATCTGCTCATCCTTTATCCAGCCCTTATGATTGGCCATGCAGCATGTAGTTAAAAGCACAGGTTTTTAATCAAGCTGCCAGGCTTGGCCAAAGGAAAGGTAGGGTTGGGTTTGGGGGCTGTCTTCCTGACCTGCACTCTCTCCCTGAGCAGGACCACTCTGAGAATTCCATTGGCGTGGCTGCCACCATGGCCCACGAGATGGGCCACAACTTCGGCATGACCCATGATCTGAAAGGTTGCTGCCACGCCAGCGCGGCTGACGGTGGGTGCATCATGGCAGCCGCCACCGGGTGAGTCATATAGGAAGGGGAGGGCAGGGCAGAGGGCAGAGCAAGGGAGCCTCTGTTAGACCTTGGAGAGAAATGTGATTTTGACAGCAAAGAAATGGGAAGAGGACAAAGGAAGCAAACGCATGCAGGGAACACCAGGTATCTAGCAGGAGGTGTGCTGTCCTAGGTCTTCGGCTGCAAAATTCACCCGGCGACCTGTGTCCTTTTCTTTTCAGGAATTTTTGATGAGGATGCATTTTGATAACAGTCCCAATTCTTAGTCCCTCCACCCCAAGGGGGTTTGATGCGTGCTCTCACTTCCCAGGCTTGATTGACAGGGCTGATGTAGGCTCCAGAACAAGGGCAAGAAAGAGGAGCATCTGTACACCCCACAGCGAGCCCACAGGGAATTTACAGGCTGCGTTTACCCGGAACAAGGGCAAGGCAGCCCCAACTCCCTGTAGCTGTGAGCGTTTTAAACCCAGAGCCTTTAAAGAGAATTCTGGAGTTTATTCAGAGGCCGATAGTGTCTGGACTCACTCTGCAGAGAGCATTGGGCTCTCCCTTTGGAAGGCCTCATGGTGGAAGCCTGTGTTCTCCCACCCCAAACCATTAGGACCTGCTTATGCTTCCTAAAGAAATGCTGTCAGTGTCTCCAGGAGCACATTGGAGCCCCCGGGGCCAGGCCTTTCCCATCCCTTCTCTGCTGTGACACACAGAGGAGGGTGTTGTCATGCAGGATGCAAGGCCATGGGCCATGCTCACATCCCATGAGCTCCTGGTTAAGTCCACCTCTTTCTTCCCCAATCTAAAGAGCATATTCATAGACAAGCAGCTGAGAGTTATATTAGTTACTGCTGCAGTTTGTTTTTAACCTAGTTAGCAATTTCAGTAGTTTAACAGTTAGTAACAAGTTCCGCGTGGCATATCTGATAACTGAGGAAGACCCTCTAGTGTCTAACCTGTAGTTGGCTTAGAGACTTGGGATCAGGATGA